TGCCAAGTCTTCTCTGATTTTTCTCTGTTCAATTTTTTTGTCTGTTCAGTTTATCCAAAAGACATCACAGAGATGTAAATACCCAAATACAAAATTGGTACTTATAGTAAAAAAAAATCCTGCCTGACAAATACTATTTTCTAAGACGTTTATAAGCAAGATGCAAAAACCCCTCCATCTGTCTAAGTTATCCATTTAAAATTAAAAGTTCCAGTTGAGAGTTGAAGCTTTTTAAAAACAGATGTTCAAAATATACAATTTCTCCTTCCAAGGTAGAGAATCACTTCTTGTCAGGTGATTCTTGGAACCTGAGTATGACAGGAACTGCAAGTCATGCCATCTCCAGGTGCACTAAACTGGTTTTACTGAAGTTATACTGTGCTTTGATCCTCTACCAGAATATAGAATAATCAAGCCAAGTATAGCAGGAAGGTAAAAAGGTCATTTTGAAATTAAAAAACAGGGGGGGTTTATATGTATACAATCACTATACCCACATTTAGAAGTAAACTGAATATTGGATAATAAACACCCCTCTCCCACTGTTATTTTGATGAAATTCATATTCTTCTTAAAGCAACGCTAAAAAGCACTTATATTACAATATATTTTATTTTTCTTGGAAAAGACATGAAATAAAACCAATTTCAAACCAGGGAACAGGAGTAAAAACAGAAATGGCCATCCTGGAAAAAGGAGAAAATTAAGTGTGGTGAATCCTGCTTTTCATTTGAAAAACCTGTTCTGATTACTAGTACAGAATATAAAGTCATGCTGCATATGAAGGACTTGAATTTTTCATTAAATCTGTGAAAGGCAGAGCAGATCACTTCACTTACTTTCACGCACAGATTCAAACACTGGATTTCAAGAGAGCAAAGAGCTCTCACCTGTGTAATAACCTCACATTTACAAAGGTCCACACTGCATAAGGTCAAGTTACTAATGGGTGATTTTCCTTTAAATATGTACCATCATCAGAAACATTTCAACAGACACAGAGTTGGGATTTTTCACTCTTTTATTTTATTGTTTTTACACAAAGTTTAAGATGTATTTATCTGTTATTCTTACCTTCACATGCCAAAAGAGAAGGTCAGAGTCTAAATGGGCAAGCTATGAAACCATCAGACTTTACAATGCACAGAAATTCCTAACTTCTGCTTCCTCAGATGGTAAAAATTACCGTAAATTAATAGAGCTGAAAGAAATGACACTCAGGAAATAACATATCAGCAACCCTGGGAGGCTGAAGAGAGCTGGATCCATTTATAGCAGAATGCCTGAAGAGATCATTATATTATCTATGTTGATCTTCTGTATCTCACAGAACATCTGAAACATTTTGTCGCCCAGCCTATAATAAGCCCTGTAATTAGGCTACAGTGTTCTAACACAGAAAAACCCTGAGCTGCTCTATATGCAGCAGACCACCACAAAGGCCAAGTCACATGCTGCAAAGGGGAACTAATTATTAGCAAAATTAGGCTTCATGATCCCACCAAGCAGTTTTTACACTGTTGCTGCATATGAATTCCTCAGCAGCACTCTTGTGACCAATTTTATTTTGAGCACTTGAACAAAGCCAAGCAACCAAACATCCATGAAAGATAGCTTCCCATACTGCTTCAAGCAGCTACTGCAAAACATATACAACTGCTTTGAACACTATAAAATATATACATTCTGAGACATTTAAATCCAGTTTATTTAGTACCAAACTCAAGATAAATTAAAGGCAGTTTATATTGTGTTAGTGTATTCCATATAGAGGATTAGAGATGAAGACTTCTAATTGGGGGTAATTAATCTTTTAAAGTTCAAAAATAAGAAGCTGACATTTCAGTTCTAAACTGAAAAGAAAAAGGAACTCTGTTTAACTCTTAAAAAAAACAAAAGTGACTATTAGAAAAACCAAACCAAGAAAGGAGAGCCTTACACTTAACCCAGGTTCGGCTTTGTTTAAAGGTAAAACCAAATGTCCCAAAGATACAGAACATAGTAACAGCAATAGGAAAGACTGGTGACATTTTAACCCTTAATACTAAATTCTAGCAAGACCAGGGGAAAAAAATGCTTACAAAGTAAGCAGCAGGAATATTTCTCCCATGCAAACAAAGTAATCCTTAGAAAAGCTTACACAAACACCCAGTACTTGTAGCACAATGTAAGAAACTTTTTGTTTTGTGAACTCAACAACCTCTGCTGTCTCTGTGCAGTCTGATGTACCTCTCTGTCAGCCCACGTCAGTACCTACTTCCCTGTTTCTGTTTGGGACCCTTCTGCTTTCCAGCTCACCAGGGCTCCTTCTTTTGGTTGTTTTGGCTGAAGTCACAGAGAAATAACATCACCCTTGAGCTGAGTGTCAGAGAGTTTAAGAAGCAACAGGTACCAAAGGGAATCTTCAGCCTAGGTCTTTAGCACAGTCTCTGATAATGCATGACTTTTTTTCCCAAACAGGAACATGGAATTGAGATACAGACAGGCTGAGTGAAAAGCAAGAGTAAATCTCTTTGAGACAAGAACTTCCTTAACTTACATTTTTGGATTTTCCCCCTTTTGCTGCAGGAGTGCCCCTGAACTTTGGTTGATGATATCCTAATGAGATTTGCTTAGCTTTCTACTTATTAGCCTGGGTGCCTCACAAAAGATTTCTTCATCCAATATTGACTTTACTTCCAACATCATAGAAGTAAAGAAATCGACATTTTAAAGCCTCTGAATCAGATGCACAAAACAAAGTGAAATTAGAGAAAACAGAAATAGTGTTCTTCCCATTTACCTAACACTGGGGGCCAAAGGATGGCAGAGGAGCCCTTACCAAAATCATCATTACTTCACTACTGTCTTCATGAACTGTGAACCAAGTTCTTTAAGTTTGGTTTTCCTTAGAAATCCAAAAAAATGTTTTGCTCTGTGTTGAACCACATATTCAGTGCCAAACTAAAGAATTTCTTTACTTTTTCATCTCAGCTAAAAATATTCCAAGACTTTTTGGTTGAATTAAAAGAAAACATCCCCAATTTCTAGGCACTGAATCTGTACTTGACTACTGAATCTAATATAAAAAAAATCAAAAAACAATCACACCACACATGGATCATAATGCACTTTTAATTCCCAAATAAAAAATGCTACATTTCTCATAAGTCATGAGACTTTCTTCAAGTTATTTTGAAATGCTAAAAACCCTTGCCTAACAGAGATATTTGATTATCTCTCACCCCAGGAAATCCTTTTCTTCAGTCTTCTCTTCCTTCATTCTTCTGTTTCTACCTCCTTGTTAGATTAACAGGATTTGGCTTTCACTCTCACTCCCTTTTGTTACAAGAAGGCTGCTTTCAATAAAAATGAGCCAGTGTCCTATTAATGACACACCCTTAGGGCATCTCCTTCACTTACAGTCTCCTCAATATTATTTTTTGCTTCTACAACTTACCATTTCCTTTCCACAGACATTCATTCATCTTCTGCCTAGTTTCAAAAACGATGTACCTTCCTCAAGTACCTCCTGCATTCCTAATTTTCTACCATTTCTTATTTCCCTATGCCTTTTTTAAGTTTGCACATTTGGGTTATTACTTCTTTCCTCTCTATATTCTACTTCTAGATCATCTAGTAATCACTAATAAAATCAAGTATTTAAAAGCTCCTTCTGCTTTCTGCTAATTCTGGAGTCTCAGAAGAGACTTCTTTGTTCTGACCATTTTTCATGGCAGTTCTCTCATTCAACCCAACCTGTTGAGCATTTACTGCAATGCACACAATTTACAAATCTCCCAAAACCACATCCAATGGATCTAATGGATTCTACTGGGAACTTCACTACCTGAACAGAATGCATAAGGCTCCTCCTTGCCTTCCAATAAACAATTGGATATTCAAAAGAGCTCATGCCATGTCACTACAAACTACTATGATAAAATATGTTTTAACTCCATCACTCAACACACACCTGGGTTTTTCTGTTTGAAGCCACTGAAGACAGACACTCCCTTCTGAAACACTGGCACCTCACTCTTGCTTACAGCTTGACATGTTGCAAAATAAAGACTCTGTGTTCATTTTAACACGTAGTTTCAAGTTTGTACTGGTTTTTTACAATAGGTTACAGTTGAAACTATATCCACAACCAATTTTGGAAATCTATTTTTTTTTAATACCTTTTTGATATTTTGGACTGGTCCAAAGGAAAAGAGAAAAAAAAAAAGGAAGAAATCAAATGTTTTACAGTTTAAAGGAAGATCATTCACTTTTAAATTAAGTTTGTTGTAGTTTACACTTCTAAACCTTAAGAAACTGGATTAATAGTTTATTTACAAATCTTATGAAGAGTCTTAAAACACCTAAGACTATTTTGCTTGGTTTCATTGGTTTCCTCCTATTTGTCTGCACGTTGAACCTTGTTGCAAAATAGAGGAGAGGTTTTTTTCAGGATGAGTGTTTGTTGGGTTTTTTGTTTGTGCTTAATGGTGTCTGGATAGCACCAAATCTAAATAAAGTTATGGCTTTTTTAATCATCTGACTCAATTCTGCACAACCACTAACAATAGAAGAGCAACAATCCTAATTTTAAATTAAAAGCACATGAAAATTTGGAGAAGTTGTTTCACCTTCTATTTCTTTCATAAAAACCTAAATCCTCAAAAACCCATGTATGCATACACAGATCTTCTAAAAACACTACCCTTCATAACATTTCTTACAAAATGAAGCCAAAATGAAACTAAACAAAATATGAACATGGCTTTAGAGGACAAGAAAGAAATTAAAAAAGCCTGAAGACAACCAGAGCAGAGCAGAGTTTGTACAACTCAGGGTCACATTTATTTGGAGATGAGGCTTTAACAGACCAGAAACAGTCTGCACAACAAACAACCTATTTGTCCCAGCCACGAGACAACCCCAAATTTGAAATAAAGCTACCAGCTGTCTCAGCAAGATGCCATGTCACTGTTACATGGGGTTGATCTATGAAGTCATTTTCTTAGAATACTTACCACTAAATCCCAGTTATTTTGTTCAAGCAACGTTATAGCTTCATCAATATTTTCAATACCAGTACATGCCTAAAAATAAAAAGAAGCAGTAAACAGAATTAAAAGCATTGATCAAAATCAGGGTATTAATGCTTATAATTCAATTAATTTCAGCAGGATGGCAGGAAAGGTATAGGTTTTCCATTTCTGTAACAAAAAGGTAATCCAGAAATCAGACTTCAGGTTTAACATCAAACACTTAGATATAATTCCCTGTTCCACCAGAAGATTCTTGTGTAACCTTGAGCAAGCCACCCAGGGAAGCAAGACCAAGTAGTTATTTGTAAAATTAGGACAATAGTGCTGTCCCATAAAGGCGTTTTGAGAATTCTACCTTCAAAGCTATGATGCACTCATGCTAGTTCAAAAGGGAGCACAAAAAACCTTGGTGTTCTAGCCCTGTCCTCTGGCTTTATCTAGTTCAAGAAATCTAACACAATAGTATTATTGGTATTGTTAATCTTATGTTAACCCTCATAAAACTGTATTTTGAACTGAGCTTTATTCCAAACCCAAGAGCACCTCTACTCAGCAAAAGTGAGATGCAGCAACCTGCTGCCTTCTTTTGATATCCAGACCTTTGCAACTATTCAACTTCAGCAGGCAGAGCATTGCTGCTCATTCTGCCACATATTTGCTACCATTCACATTGAAGATTATCAGACATATTTTACTAGAAGAGAAAAAAGAAACAGTTAAGTTTCTCTCTGGAATTTATCTTTCATCTTAACCAAAGCTATGCTCTGTATTCAAACATACAAGAGGAGTTCAGACTTTTACAAGATCTGAAACATGATTGTATTCCTTCTGCTCTACCACATAGTTATATAAAACTGTGGTATATAAAATTGCATCAAAAAAATTTAATAACCAAACCTTTTAACAGTAATAATACAGAACTAGATAGGAGCAGCAAACAGATCAGTTTTTCTGATTCCCTTTATGTCGTAAGAGAAGAAGGAGGCTAAGCAAACACCTTTTTCCTTCCAAGACATAAAAAGCAATCAGGTCGTGTATTTCCCATGTTCTGACTTTTCTCCCAATTTACAACCATGAAAACATAAAAAGAAAAAATCATAGAGAAATTCGAGGCCAATTCCCTCTTCCTAAATTCAACCCTGAAAAATTCCACACTTACAAGGCACTACATGCAGTATGTCAACACAAAATGGACGAGCCTGAAGGACCACAAGATGAAATTATGGGGAATTTTGCCTGCAGAGGGGAGGCAGCAGTTTTTATTGCTACACAGTGCTCTAACGACCACATTGATCCTCTCTGCAACAAGACAAAATTTCTTCCACTTCAGAGCATGCTGTGTTAATGCTGAATTTCACCCACTTCACACTGGGAATGCTAAAAAAACACCACTTTGCTCTTCAGAAGCATCATTTTGCCTTCTTTTCCATTATTTCTTTCAGTTAATTCTGAAGTTAAAAATGGGACAACACTTCAACACAATCCCCAGCAAATGCTTATACATTTATATACACTTTTATCAGGCAGGTTTGAAGAGTACAGGGCTTGAGTTTGTCCTTTCTGAAATCACAGGATGGCTCATGCTACCATCAACCTGCCACTGGAACTAATGTGAACAGATCTCCTACAAAAAATCCTGCTTTGAGAAAAAGCTCTGCAGAAGTGACAGTCTTTCTGTTTACATTTGAATGAAATACACTTAATGTGGTCATTAGAGAAATAATTACTAGTTCTCATTTGTCAGCCCTGCGAAATCTGCATGACTTTAAGAACTACCTTGTGTTCCAACCTACAATAAGAACTTCACCAACAATGTGTTGTTTTCACCCCTGGGCTGTGCAGATGAAGCTGTGGAGATGGTACCTACAATTCAGGATTTAACACTGGTTTTAGTTGTCCCCTCTTTTTATCATTCCTGCAGCTCTTCTGACTTGCCCCTGTCCTCTGTTAGCCCATACTAACTGCAAATCAGTTCAGCTCACTTTGGCATATTCTCATTTTGAGAGAAACTAAACAAAATTAGCTTATCCTTCTGCCAGAGCACACAGAGAAAGGAGTTAACACAGTGAGGGCAGAGTAATTAAAGAACTAATTCACCTATGTGTCTGTATCCTTCCTGAATCATCTTTCTGGTGATTTACAATGTAAAACAGAAGCCTGCTCTTGGTCACTTAGCAATGCAGAGTCACTGGGTAACAAGGACAGGTGTAAACACCAGCTGAAAATAAAAATCATCAGAATTCTTAATGGTCAAGACAAGCAGTTTTGGTTTAAATCTTTGCACTATTCCTACAGTCCTTTTTAATATTTGATTTTGAGGAGTTCTTAAACTAAGATTTCACTTTCCAGATGGACCATTTTTGCTAGTTGTCAATAAAACAGAAAACAAACATTTCAGAATTGCAGCAGGAAAGAATGAGTGCTACTTATCAATGTAACCATAAAACAGACATTCCCAGATCTTCCTCAACACACTGTTAATGTCAGAATTGCAGCAAATTAAGATTATTTAGAATCTTATTATAATTCAACGTTCAAACACTACATGCTACAGAAGCCATCAGTGAGACCAAAAACCCCCAGCAACCAAAAATTAAAGTTGCTTCCTTGTACCTGCATCATGCCATGCAAGCTAAATTAAAGAAAATCATCTGGTTTGCATGTCTTTGATTTTCCCTAAGAAATTAAGCACACAAGACAGGCAGTCCCTCACTGGCAAGTGTGACATGACGTCAAAGGCTCTGTAGTGACAGATTAGTCCCAGAACAACCTGGCCTGCTCCTGCCTTTGTTTTCTTTAGGGAAACACACACAGGAAACCAGCAGGTTCTGTGAGTAACAGAATTAACAAAGTCTGCTTCCTCATGGGTTTGCCTCTCATCCCTAATTGCAAGGGCTGATTTAAGCTTTTCCTATGGCTGGAATATTTATAAGAGCTTCTTTTAATGGACTGCTTCCCATATTACCTGGCTATATTTTCATTATATTTGGAATCATTTCATTGGTACAAGTCCAAGGGGCACCTGGCACCTTAGGGCTCTATGCCTCACATATCTAGAAAGGCAGTCTAGAATTCACAGGATTTAATTATTTACAATACATAAAGCTGTTTTCATCATACTTATTCCTTTTATTCTACCCAAGCAAGAAACAAACAAACAAAAATTAAACAGGAAAAAGAAAGTTAAATTTGTTCAGGATCAGAAGAAAAAAACCTTCAAAATATAGCACAGCAGATGAGCTCTGAAGATGCAAAAATACATCTTTGTTACTATGCAAGTAAAGTGAGAGACTGAGACTTTATTCACAGATTTTTTATTCAGCTTTATTTTCATGAGACCTGCTTAACAGAAGGCATTAAATATTTTAAAAGAAAATTCTTACTTGAATACTACTAAATCTCATTTCAGTGAACAACTAGCACATCTTCTAAGTCATCAAAAGATGAAAGAAACCAACCACCACAGAAAAGGTAAAACCCTGAAGGCTCACTGATTTGTAAACCTTTACACATCAGAAAGAAACCAAAGAATTTTTTTTGAGGACAAAGGAGAAGAAAAGGTAGAACAAGTTCCTCCTCCTCTCTGCATTTCCTGTAAATCTAGGATATCATTTTCAGCCTTCAGAGCAGCTCCAGAGACTCTGCTGTCACTTCTGTGCTTTTCCAGACCACACAAGAGGAAAACGAATGTGAAGATGAGAAAACGATTGTTGTGTGCTGAATTCATAATCAGATGCTGAAGATAAAGTTACTGAATGTTAAAACAACTTTCTTAACATCCTGCTTTTCCAGGGCAGGTAAGTGTTTCCACCAGGTAGACTGAAATTTTCACATAATAAAATTTCTGAGCGTTCTCCAAATTTTTTTCCAGGAAGCTTCATATCCCCACAATGACAGAGACCTTACCCTTGGAATGTTTCACAGGTGGCCATTAGGGGTCCTATCTTTGCACAGCAACATTAACCTTAATAAAAGAAGCAAACTAGTCACTAAGGAAACAATTCAATAGGAAAGAAGTTGTGAGGCCAGACAGGCTCCAAGGCATTTGAGACAAACCTAGGAGCTGCTTCCAGAAAGCTGTAAAGCAGGATGACAGACTGGCTCTTCTAAATCCCTTGCAGGGTGGTCTGACCCCAGCAGCTGTAACAGCTGGATCTGGGTTTGGAGACCCTCTGTGCCACCCTACCCCAAGAGCACAGGCTCCAGCCACCTCCCCACCCCAGGGAAGCAGCTGCCCTCCCCATCTGGCAGCAGCTGCTCCCCAGCACCTGCTGCAGGGATCCAGGCAGTTGTTGCATGGCAGAGCTGGAAGGGCCAAGTGCAGCTCCCAGCACAGAGCTGGGCTGTTCCTGCAGCTGCTGGGACTCACTCACAGCCAGGCACTGCTGCCCTGACAGGCAGAGGCTGCAGCTGCTGCACAGGAGCTGGCAGCACACGGTATTTGGCAGCACATGGTATTTATTTGGCAGCAAGGCAGGATGTCTCTCACCTGGGGCACCACTCCCCTGCTCACCAAGGCAAAATGAGGCAGGCAAAGTATCCAAAAGGCCACATTTGGCCTAAGTCTCAACATTCCTTTTGAACAATTCCATATTTCCTTTGGCTACTAATAGTAGCTGCATTTTCTCCAAAAAAGGGACTGTCCCATCTCTAAGCTAACCCAAACTAGGCCTAAAACATTTTGTACAACAGGTTCAGGCCTGTTAAAACCAGGCAGACAGACAGCTGTGAATCACACTGGGTACCACTCGCTTCTGTAACAGTCAGATTTTAAAAGAAATCTGTAGCTCAGTCCATCATTTCAATGTTTATCCAAAGCTACAATGCACAAAGAAACAACTGCATGAAGGCACCAAAAGATTCAACAGGATTATCTAGGAAGAAAAGCTTTCACCCTCTGGGAGCTCCTACAATAGCTCAGGAAGTCAGCATTAACACATCTGTGAGTGCACAGACAGCACCCTAGGAAGTGCTTACTTTTGAAAGCACTAAATAAAATTTTATCACTAGATAGAGCACGGCAACTAGAGTTAACTCTATTCCATAAAGAT